AGAAGGCTTGAAGGCTAAGAGCATGTCCTTTTCTGATAGAACGACTGAGTTCCCTTCCAAGTATCTTCACTAAGTGGCTTAAAAATCACTTGTAACTTAAGCTCCAGGATTAATAATATCATCTTTTGACCTTCTCAGATAACTGCACTCATATGCATAAAGACAGATAGGCAAATACACACCCACACACAAAGACACACACACAAACACATGAGTAGATTAACCAGGTTAGAGTTACATATGAATTTATATTTGTGTTCACCAGGCTATAGTGATATATACATATACATATACATATACATATGTGTAACAATAATTAAGAAGGGATTGTGAGATTGAGAGTATATAGGAGACACAGGAGTAATAGTAATGGGAAGTGGGTGTGATGGAACTGATCTTAAAATGCAATAGGCTCTACATTAACAATACCTTTGAGCTAGTATCTAACTCTTCTATGTGATTATAGGTAACCTTTTTTGGTAGTCTTGGGAAGGTCAAAGTGAGAACAAAATACTGTACAAAAATTATATATTTATTTTTGTGTAAGTGTGATCATATGTGCATGAAGTATATATTTGAGCATGTACCCACACATACAGTTCACACCATGTCTCATATATAAATGTTGGAACACACTTATTAAGTTGACTCTCTCATTCTACCTTGGCAATCGTTTCTGGAAATATAACTGAAGTAGTCACACTTTATAATGAACATTTTTATATACTATACTGTAGGAACTCAGGCCCCTGTTATAAAAAAGAAAATCCAACTGATTTTTCATAAAATTATTATCCTCTAAGTATTCCTGTCCTTTATGACTCATTGCATGTGAACCAGATCAGAATAAACCATGTAGGGTAGAATTTTCTTCAATCATCCCATAAAAACACCTTTCTGTCCCTGAAAATGGATGGGTCAGTCTGTTCCTTTAGGAGTCACATATAGTGTAGATGATAATTTTCTCTACTACTGTCCCACATTAAGTTATCTCTCCTAATGAAGTTCCTTCTAGGTTTTTAATGAGAAATTCTCTCTCCCTTCAAGACTTCATTGTCTCATCTCTGGGATGATGCTCTATCTCTCCTAATTCCCTCTCCACTTCAAGGCTCAATCATGTGATTGCATCATTGTTATGATATACCCTCCTAAGAAAGTCCATCTGGTACTTTTATAGGCACATCCTTATTTAGGTTGGGAAATTTTTCTTCTATGAATTTGTTGAAAAATTTTCTGTACCTTTCATCTGAGATTCTGTGTCTTTTTCTACATCTATTATTGTTAGGTTTGATCTTTTCATGGTGTCCCATGTTTCCTGAATATTTTGTGTTCTGCTTTTGTTGTACTCAACATTTCCTTTTGTCAATAAATCTTTTTCCCCGATAGTATCTTTAACACCTAAGATTCTCTCTTCCATCTCTTGTATTCTGTTGGTTATGCTTGCATTGAGAATATAAGCAATAGTTGAGTGTTTATGTTATATACCCTTCAGCTATAATTATAATGAGAGTGATGACTATATTAAATTCCATCATAGAGCCTTCACCCAGTAGCTGATGGAAGCAGAAGCAGAGAGATTCAAGGCTAAGCACTGAGCTCTACCCCTAAAATCCAGTTGTAGTGGGGAAGAAATGCTCAGCAAAGGGGTTAAGACCATGCTGGAGAAACCCACAGGAACAGCTGACCTAAGCAAGTCAGAGTTCATTGACTCCAGTCTGACAACCTGGTAACCAGAATAGAACAAAATCAGACCCCCTGAATTTGTGTGTCAGTTGTGGGGGGGGGATGGTGGTAATTCTATGGGGCCTTTGACAGTGGAACCAATACTTATGCATAGTGCATAATTTGGCTTTAGCAGCCCATTCCCAATGGAATGACACACTCTTAGCCTAGGTCAATGCGGGAAGGCCTAGATCCTGCCCCCAAAATTATGCTACATACTTTGATCATCCTCCATGAAAAGTTTCACTAACCATGGAGAGTGGAAAGGTGATGCTACTGTCAAAAACAAGAAAACCTGGGGTTTAGAAAATGGGAATATTCCCTAATCATGATAAAATTTGTATATGTATTTGTGTGTAAAATATTCTCTAGATTGAGAAGAACTGATGTTAACAGTTACTCTTTGATAGAGGCTGCCAGGATCGATCAGCAGATAATAATATTTGGAACTCTTCCCAAGGACCTGGATTGAGATCTCACCATCCATGTGTTGAGTCATACCTCTTAATGACTCTAGTTCCAGAGAGTTATCTTTTGTCCTCTCTAGGCACTAGATGCATGTGTTACACATTCATGCACGAAGACAAAACACACTCATAAAATAAAATAAAATAAATAAAACATAAAAGTTTAGACCTAAGTAATGCCACCCAATTTGGTCATAGTGTGCATTATGAATGTGAAACATGACACAACATGCCATCCTTAAGTAGCTTTCTCTCAGGCATGACAACAAAACTATAAGAAAAGTAGCAATCATATGTTGACTGATTTTTACTATTAAATGAACTCCCGAAAAGAGTGCATGCATGCTTAATCTGTTAAAAACCACAAAATCATTTTGATTATTAATCTGAAAACTTAAACATAAATAGTTTCCATAAATATGTAAGTAACTTTCAAAATGCACAATGACTTATTTATTTATATGCTGCAGTTTGAGTCCAATGATCAATAAGTCAAGCAAGTACCCAATGACACAGTTGTACACAGCAGAGATTTAAGGTGATGTTTTTAGGAAATGTGGTCATTGATGAGGTGTAAGAATGCTTAGGGAGGATTTTGTCTTCTATCAACATTCAGTAGGAAATATATTTGGCTATATAGTAGTTTATATATATGGACTTGGGCATGGATAAGATAAATGCATACATGTATGAATTTATGAAATGTTAAATGAATAAATCATGTAAAGATTGAAGTTTACATTAATGGTAAGATACTAAACACAAAGGAAATAAGAAAGAAAATTTCCTTTTTTGTCTTGAGTGTCTTCAGTTTGGATTTTGTCTTACAGTAAGTTAAATGCTTGTATTTTCCTGATAACATTCCTAATAATATTTTCCACTTGAGTAATCCATGACATTTTTCATATATTATTTTTAACATGTATATTTTTCCACAATGTAGTCGCTTTTGTGGGGCAGTTGAGGCAGGGTTTCTCTGTTTCATGGCCATGGAATTCCTTTTGTAGACTAGACTGGCCTCATACTAACAGAGATCCACCCTCCTATGCCTTTCTAGTTCTTGGATTAATTTAAGACCTGTACCACCAAAGAACTGCCCATTATTGGCTTTATTTGAAGAAGTTTTCAAAATCTTTCCTACATCTTACCCCAAGCAATGTGTTTCAGGTAAATTTGGCAGGTTCCTGAGTTTTTTGGGATTTCCCCAATGAGATTTCACTCCTGTTTTGTGGCAGAAATAGTATAGTCATTAGGGTTGGTGACAATGTTATTTTAGGCCTACAAAGGCTGTTAATAACTAAGCAGAAGACTCATCTAGAACACAAGGATGTTCGATCAATCACTCACTCAGAATGCAATCATGAAAATGAGTGGTTTCACCAGAATACACAGTTTCACTAATGTTGTATATGAATATGGTAAACATGTGTCCATGATACTGCATACAAATCTTAATGAATACTGCTACAATGACCGAATGAATAAAATTTTCACTTCTGTGAACACACTACAGTATGACTTCTATAAAAGCCATTCACATTTTCATAAAGAGTTGTGTGACTAGAGGGAGAGAAGGATCTGATTGTGGTGAAGGAATAAAATTCAAAGAGAATATTCAAAGAACAGTATATTCAGCTACTATGAATTAAGGTTCACAGATTATGCAAGTTTTATGGATTCCTCAGTAATTACAACTTCTATATATTTTATCTTTGTACTTTATAAAAATGTTCACAAAATATAAAGAAATATTTATGTGTAACTACAAACCCTAAAAATAAATTGAAAGACTGTTCCAAAAATTCTTATCCAATTAAAAATTTTCATTTGTGCCTCATGCCCCAGTATATGATATTTATAAAACTAGAAGAGTGAAGAAAAGAATGAACATCATGTCCCTTAGACACCACAGCATTATAGACCTGCAAAAGTCAGAGAAAGAATGTGAGCTTGATACTTGAAAGCCCATAGAATATTGGCTACACGAACAGGGACTTTCTCACATGTAAATTGTGAACTGAAAGAATATTACCTGTGAGAAGCAAAGACCCCTATTGCAGGTATTCCTAGGCAGCTATTCCCTAGTATATTGCTCATACAAGACACATGACATACTTAGAGCACAGTTGCCCATTAATCTGTTTATGTAATTTCATCTTGAAATCCATAACTTATGTGAAGTCTCCTGCTAAACTCACAGGTGTCTGGGAAATACAGAAAAGCTGTGGGTACAACTTCGAGTAAGACAGAAATAAGGGAGTATCTCAAATGTAGTTGGCTGATTTGTAAAGGGAGAAGGAGGGCCTCCTTCCAGAAGTAACTCGAAGACTTGTCTATAATCACTTTGCATGTGGCCACATGCCCCAGATTTTACTCACTCATAATCAGAAGAAGAAACAGTAAAGAGTAATTGCATGCTAAATATTTTATTAGAATGTTGAAGGCACACATAAAATATGATTGTTCCATGGAAATGACATTAAAGGTATCTGTCTTCTACTTCATCTGAAACAAATGAATAAGAAACATGATCAGAGAAATGAAATGTGCAATTTCATAATTTCTTGAAATATTTCTGTTTCCAAAAGATTTCTATTTCTGTTAGAATTAAGGTATATGATACACAGTGAATTTAAATCACAGAAACCACAGAACTCTAGGTTAAAGGAGCCATTTAATATTTAGATTAATATATGATTTATGTCTTTAGGAAGAGGTTGCTGATCTCAGGAGTTTGGGCTTTGGTGTGATGGATAATGTATCTGATTACCTTTGCACTGCTATGTAACCTCTTGGTTATACATAAAATGTCTACAGGGAACTTGGCTTTTCCTCACTTCCCTGCTGGGGTGGGCCTTGTTGGTTTCCAGGTTTAGGAGGGCGATTCTGTTGCTGGCCTTCCTGCTGGGGGGGGGCTTGCTGGTTTCCAGGTTTTGGATGGCGATTCTGTTGCTGTCCTTCCTGCTTGGGTGGGCCTTTCTGGTTTCCAGGTTTAGGTGGATGATTCTCCTGCTGTCCTTCCTCCTGGGGTGAGCCTTGCTGGTTTCCAGGTTTTGGATGGCGATTCTGTTGCTGTCCTTCCTGCTGGGGTGGGCCTTGTTGGTTTCCAGGTTTAGGAGGGCGATTCTGCTGCTGACCTTCCTGCTGGGGTGGGCCTTGTTGGTTTCCAGGTTTAGGAGGGCGATTTTGCTGAGGGCCTCCCTCTTGGTTTCCAGGTTTAGGAGGTCGAGGTTTCTGGTGGTCACCTCCTTGCTGTGGTGGTCTCTCTGGTGCATTTCCATCTTCTTCACCATCATCATCACCTTCTTCTTCAGATGCAGAAGGTTTTGGGGAGAATTCTCCAGCTGAGGGTCTCTGATGAGGTTGACCAGGGCCTTGGCCTTGCTGCTCTTCCTCTGCAGGGAATAGATCAATATAGGAGAAGTTCAAACTTTCTCTTTCTCCAAGATCACCCTCCCAGCTCTATGTGCCTAGTTCCTCTTGATCTACACTTTACATTTACCACACTAACTTTCTTGTGTATCAAGTCTTTGTTCCAATTTTTTTCTTAAATTTGCTGCATAAAAGGTGATAGGATGTTCCTTACAATTCTCAAACAGAACTGAAAATAGCAGAAGTGTTTGTAAGTGTTACAGATTGAAAACTGAGAGAATAAAAAAATTGTAATAGCAATGCTCTTTTCTTAAATATATCATGGTGTTCATAATATAGACAACATGAAAGAAATGTAGAAAAGGGAGAAAAGATGTTTCATTCAATTTTTATGTAGTTTCTCTTTATTTAATATTCATCTATTCAGCATGAGCATATAATTTTACTTTGAATCACAGGTGAAATACTGCAATTGTAAATTTAAATGAGGATACCCAATATCCTCATTGTATGCAAGACATTGCTTCAATCTGTGTAAGAGACACAATGTTCCTCTCACAAAAACCTGGCTTTCTCCTCTTCCATTTTACAGTCCATTGTATATGTTCTAGAGGCTATGTTCGGACGTTGTCTTATATATCACAGGGGAAGCTGTCACACACTAATTTCATAAAACAGCAAAATGATACAGAGACTTTACAGAGCTGACTATTTAAAACACTGAAGATTGCATAGAAGGTCCCTAGAGAATAAATCTGGCTTTACCTGAGAGTTGCGAAGGAGATTCTTCATAGATGGTTGCTAGGAAATAAGCACAAAGTAAGTTTAAGGTTAATTATGAACTTTTCAGGCCTCCCAGTTAAGAAGTTTTTCACTATAGCTTCCCATCCACTATGTAGAATTTTATTCTTGGGTAATGTTGCTGATAATGCTGCCAGAATGTTGTCTAGGATCAGGATCAACTGCTATTTTTTTACTTCATAATTTTTATCTTTCCTTACTCTTAGTCTTCAGGTACAGTCTGGGAAATTTGTATATCAGTAGTGTTTTATATTGTTTTTTCCATTTGATATTTTTAATTTAAATTTGAAACAATCTTATTTTACACATCTATCCCAGTTCCCTCTCCCTTCCATCCTCAAATGTTTCCCCCCTCACCCCCATGCCATCTCACACCCTGTCCACTCCCAAGGGAGAGTGTGGTCTTCCATGGGTGATCATCATTGTCTGTCATATCGTTTGAGCTGGCTCCTAGGCCATCCCCAGTTTACTGTGCTGAGAGAGTAGCCCTTCATAGGGAAAGGGCTCCCAATGTTATTTTGTGCACTAGGAAGAAATTCTGGTTGCACTCTTAGAGGTCCCATATACTGCCCAGGACTCCTAACTCTCACAGAGGTAAGAAGGGCTGTCTTTGTTCTTTGCTGGTTCACCAGCTGTCTGGCTGGTATACATGATATCCTAGTGGCTAAGGTCATCTGTCTCTGTAGGTTTCCCCAGCATGGTCTTGACCCCTTTGCTCATCACTCCTCCATCTCTACAACTGGTTTGCATTATTTATACTTCTCTTTATAACCTTCACTTCCTAAGTGATATATTCACAGGCATTTTATGCACCAAAATGAGAATACAAATTGTATCAAATACTATGCATAGAACAATGAATGTTTATTATGCAACATTAAAATTGAGAAATATGTGCAGCTAAGTGTCTGAATGGGTAAAAAGTGCTTGGTCTACGACTTGAAATCAGTTTCAACCATGAATCCCATGTTAGAAAGAATAATATTTCTCCCTATAATTATTCTCTTCCACCCTCTCTCTCTGTATGTGTTTGTCTCTGTGTCTCTGTTTCTCTAAAACACATATACACCAACACACAGACAATTTTGATTGTACACATGCATTGAAATAATTTATACATATCTCTCTATGTGTTTGCATGCAGTTCTGTGACTGGAATGTAATAAGTATGTACCAGATTTTTCTTTAAACCTGTAATGGCTCCTGTGACTAATGCTATTATTTCCCTCTACTGTGTCAATCTCTGTAATTAGATCTAATCACTTCAGTCAATTTTAGTGTTTTATTTACTAATTAAATACTTTTAAGTATGTCCTAGTTTTGACTGTAACATATGACTACTTACTAACCTGCATTTCCTTATTATACTACATAGTTGACAAAATTCACTTTTGAGGAATAGAAATTTGCATCACAATGTTAAATTAACTGTACATGTATGATACCATGATCAAGATTATGAATATATGTATAGTATATTTTAACAAAATTAATCTCAAATTTGTACCAGTATACAAAATTTATACAATACACAAAATACAATCCAATATAAAACATTAAAAACTAGTATATGCTTTTCAGATGTATGTTCAATAATCTAACTTTTTATGTTATCATCTCTATATCTTCCTTTTTTCTTTTCAGAATATATTCAATAATATACCCTTTTATCCTTTCATATCTGTATCTCCATTTTTTCCTTTTAAAACAAGAACCTTGTATCTGATCTCCTTTGGCTCCTGCTTTCCTGAAATTTCTCAATAAAAACTTGCATCCAACCCTCCTAAAAAGTGAAAAATATTCATATCCAACTGAAAGAATAAAGATCATCTACCAGACCTATTGGGAATGTGATGTGTTGTTTTTCTTAAATTTACTTACTGCTGTCTGAGTTGATGCTGTATTTAAAGGATCCTATGAAGAAAGTTTTGGATTAATTGCCAAGTCTTGATGTAGCTGTATTATTTTTTCCCAGATTCTGTATTATGGGAATTGTAATTGTGGTGCCTTATCCTCCTTTGGAGACATCAAAGATAGTTGCTGGACATAGTCATGAATGACCACAGAAAATGGATTGGAAGTGAAACCAAAAATCATATACAGGAAGTTAAAGGAAATATTTTTCTAGAATTAATGTTACATATGGCAATTAATACCATGACAAAACTTTAATATATTGTTAAATATATATATATATATATATACTTTTTAAAAGGTTTATTCATTATGTACACAGTGTTCTTCATGCATGCATGTCTTCAGGCTAGAAGAGGGCATCAGATCCCATTACAGATGATTGTGAGCCACCATGTTATTTCAGGAATTGAACTCAGGACCTATGGAAGACCAGGGAGTGCTCTTAACCACTTAGCCATCTCTCCATCTAATATGTATAAATCTGATACATTTTGCAATAATATTATAAATCCAAAGTTTATGAGATTAGTTGCAATAAAATAGTCCTTAAACATTTTTTCTTCTGTCCTATACATTGAGGCTTTTTTGATATGAAGCAGAGATTTTACTTTAACAAGCATGCTGGGTTTAGAGAATGAGAGAGCCATACTCAAACACCAAAGCCAGCTTTAATCTTTTATTGGAGCTACAAAGACCATTTGAATTACATGTTCTTAGAGAAAACCAGAAATAATCCCTTGGAAGTTTTGTTAACTTTTATCCCATTGGTAATGTGATATACCCATAGGCCAATTTACTCTTTTCCTTTGGACGGTTATTCTGAATGATTTGACCTATTTCTTTAGATATTTCATTTATCCAGTGGTCTCCAGATTCCTTAGATGGATGCCTTTATTCTCCTGAACAGACAAACAGAACCACAACAATGCTACCCCAACCATAATTATGGTGAGGTTGTCTTTTGCCAAGTTATATCCGATCAAATAAAAAAATTTCTGTATTTCTTTGTTAGTTTAGATTAAATGGCCATGCTGCTTGAAGAATCAGCATCTCTTTCTATTAAGAAGTGTCTTTTTCAATAGGACCTTTACCAATTTTGATGGTATCTATCTCTTTTATTCTCCTTTGGAAGCAAAAGCAAAACCCCTCCCCTCAGGTAACACTTGTCCTGACTTCCATTGTGAAATCACTATAATTTTGATATACGCTGGATGATTTAATTCCATAGCTTTTTCTAATATACAATATCTCTCCACTGTTGTTGTTCTGTTCTCATTAGCATTTAGAAAATTTAAGTTAATAAAGCACTGTGTAATCTACTTCTGGAGCTTTTTTATCATTTCTTTGTGCATATTTAGTAAGTCCTGCAGAAATTTATTTGATCTTTCTATCACTGCCTGTCTTGTAGGATTGTGTGGTAAACCTGCAATATGCTTTATATTATAGCAAGCAAAAAATAGTTTCATTTTCTTAGAGACATATACTGGAGCATTGTCTGTCTTAATTTGTTTGGTATATTCATGATGGTCATTCATTTTAGCAAATTTCTGATTACTGAATCATTCTTTTATAAATAAAAAGCATTTGACTAAAGAATATTTGGATACATATGAATTGTGTGGTGTATATATTTTAATTTTCCAAATTCCACAAAATTGAACACATTGCTCTGCCAGATATTATTCTTTGAGTACGTTTTTGTTCATATCCTGCAGGTGGTGGAGTTTGCTTTTATAAAGAACACGTAGAACTTTTTCCTTTCATTTCCTGGGCTTGTTGCCAAGTGATGAAAAAGCATTCTTAATCTTTGCTCTTGACATGGTATATTTAATGAAATTCTGAGACCTTTACCACATTTCCTATCAATAGTTGATCAATTCATCATTACTTTGTGTAAAATGGTCTGGCAGGCCCATATGGAATTGAGCATGTCATATTCATTACCATCCCTGATTATGTCTTATTGAATAAATAAGTTTAACACAGAAAATGGACAAGAGACTGGTATTGGGGTTTAAACTTCAAGCTGATGTTCAAAAAGCAAAGCTTGTGGATACCAGCTTGTCACTTGTACCCAGGCTTAATGGGCTGATTCTGTCTCCAGGAGCTCTCACCCAGTCTCAGACTATAATCTCTGCTCAGTGTTACTGCAGACTGGATACCTCTCTGAGACCTTGCTTCTGAGTTATATACTTCCAAAATGTTGGGATTAAAGGTGTGAGATATAATTCTCATTAGACTGATTTACTTTTATATAGACTTGGGTGGCCATGAACTCACAGAGATCTGCCTACCTCTAATCTGAGTCCTAGGATTAAAGTTATATAGCACTACACCCTAGGTTTTGACTTCTGGGATTAAATGTGTTTTCCTGGCTTCTATAGCTTATGGATGACTGTCTGTGAATCTGCAGACAAGCTATAATAAACCATAAATAATATATTACTTCCAATAATAACATCAATTCTGCATCATCTGGAATAATTTCAGGGGTTTCAACATGCAAAACAACTCTTTCTTCATAGAGTGAATCAGTAGCTATATTGAGAGATTCCTTATGATCCATTGACATCATGAGACTTGCATATAATTCTGACTTTTAGACAGAATTGTAAGGACTTTAATCCACTTAACTTAAATTTTTTGATTTGTATCCTGCCTTTCCTGATTCCTTTTCATTAATATATAATGTAATGGCTTTAGTTTTTGGTGTTTCCTATACAATGGAAGGAATAATCCAATTATTTCTCTTTTTGAGTTAATTATCTTGCTTTTGGGATAATTGTTGCTAGCCCCTCCCTAAAAATTGCTACAAGCTCTTTGACAAGGATCACTTTAAACTCATACTTTGTCAATTTCATCATTAGCTTAAGATACAATAACTTTTTCTGGATCCATTCTTGATAATTGATGAAGTCTCTGCTTTCCATTGAGGTCAAACTCAGAGAACTTTTCCACATTAATTTAAAATTGTTTACTAAAGTGAAGTTGTGAAAAGATCCATTCTATGACAATATCTTCTATCTGCATTAAAATTCCTATAGGCAAATTCATAGAGACAAATTTGAGTAGAATGAATTTAAGATTGGGTCCACATGTCACACATGTGTTCTTTGTAGTTTCTCTTCCTCCAAAGTTTATTCTCTCTTTGCTTCAGCTTTTTCTTTCCTAGGATAATTCCTGTCACAATCTCCTTTTATGTAAATTAATCACTTGAACAAGATTTACCTCAATATTGTGCCATGAATAGGAAATGTCTCCTATCAATGTTTAAAAGTTATTAAGAGTCTACAATTAATCTTTCCTAAATTGCACATTGTGGTGCAATTAGGTGTAAAGTATAAATGTTTGAGAGACATCAAAAGATAATTTGATAATGTAAATTAGAATATGAAGTAAATTATGTATTAGATTTTGGATTCACCAAAATAGAATAGATAATGGAGCTTTTCCTCCGAATCTGTCAAATGGCAATGGAGTAGACATTGTTGATGTATTCATTGCCTATACATTGTT